TGGGCATTGCGGGCAAAATGATTTTGGAGGTGTACGGAATTTCTTCTTTGTTTTGAATGAATAAATTTTCAGTCCAGGGAATAGAAGGAAAATAGAGACTTTAAACGAAATAAATAATACACTCGCCGAGTCGTTCTGGCAAATACATTGATGAGGGTGCGATGTGGCCTACTTCCTCCCATTGATGTCTTGGTGATCGCCTTACTGAATTCATCTTCTCACGATTAGTATAACCTGTCCTTTGAGATACGTCATTCTGGAGCGAAGTGATGCTGTTGGATAGAGTTGGGCCTATGAGAATCTCGGTCTTGGTCAGCTTGAGCGACAATCTGACCGTCAGCAATTGCGCGATTGAGGTCGTCTCCTTCTTTCATCTTTCTCTCACCCACCGCATGACATCGATCAATCAATCACATCGAGAGCAGCTAGCCATGTCCGAGCTTCAGTCCATCAGGCTTACCACAAAGCCCCAGGCTCGTATACTTTACCGCCTCTACCCCTCCGCATCAACAGAGGCGCCGCAGCGAATTGTCGTGTTTCTGAATGGCCTCATGCTGCCCCAGGCGGGGTGGGCACCGGCCATCGCGGAGCTGCAGGACATGTATCCAGGTGGCGGCCTGCCTCCGATGATTACATACGACCGGTTTGGCCAAGGCCAGACGACTGATCGGGATCCGCTGGATGAGACTGCTTCTGATCCATCCCGCGGCCATGATTGCGCCTCCGTGGTGGGAGATCTGAGGCAGCTGCTTTCGCAGATTACCCGAGACAAGCTGAATATCCCTCATCTGGACGACGTTGCAGTCGTCTTTGTCGCCAATTCAATTGGCTGCGCTCTGGCCCGGCTTTACGCACAATCATACCCCGGCACAGTGGTAGCGTTGCTTCTTCTGGACAGCATCATCGCCAACTCGGACTTTGTCTCCATGTTCCCAGATCCCGATGCCGCGGACTTCGACCCTGGAGCCCTCCCAGATGGCGTGACACCTGAAAACCTCAGGGATGTTCGTAGCCTGGTTCGCCAAATCTTTCATCCAAGCGTGCCCAACCCCGAAGGTCTGGACAGGAGGAACCTGGCTTCCCTTCTTCCGGATAGTGATGCACCCAAACTCAAGGGGCCGAGAGAGCAGCAGCCTTTCGTCAGGATTGTCGGACACGACTTCGAGAAGTTTGTTGATGAGTGCGAAAAGTCCGGTTGGCCAAAGCCAGTCACCAGGGCGTACACCAACCCGTACTGGGAGCGATATAATCAAGGCCTCGTCAAGATCACGGCGCCCGAGAAAGCCAAAGGCCCAGTGCAGGCGCCTCATTCTGGGCACTTTGTGCAGAGAGATAACCCACTGTTTGTTGCACAGGAGATAAAGGGATTGCTGGATGACATCGTGAAGACAACTTAGACCATGTATCTGTCTGTTTTCCATGGAAGAATAAGAATGTGGTATAACCATATATCAGTCGCATGACCTCTAGAAGATACTGCGAGAGCTTAGTGATGGAAAAATCGTTGGGGTATCATTATCTTATTACTTTAATATACAGTCTAAAACATATTACACTCTCGGTGGCGTATCCTCAATCCTCCCCGTATCAAGAAGTTCGCCAATACCAGTAACGCCATCTGTGCTCAAATCGTTTTCTGACCAACCGTAGCATACCCGCCTCTTCTTCAGCTCCCTCGCGAGCTCCATCCCATCCATTGTCTCTGACGCTTTGGAGAGATACATATTATTTTTCCGCAAAGCTGCTGTGGCGTATCCAAACACAGCAGGACTGACAGCCAGATGAGCAAACGCCACGCCTGCCACACCACTCGCGAGTAGCAGTATAATCGACAGAATGCAGAACACAGCCCAAATTGTGGAAATCGAATATGCAATGATCCGTTTATACACTTGCGAATCAGCCTCCTGAGTATGGGAGCCGTCTCTGTTTAAGGTGCTACCCTCGAGTGCATGACCTGCTGCAGAGGAGAGCTGGATGTATGTATTAAGCACCTGACTTAACCTGGTGCTGAGATCCTTCTTGTCTATTTTCGAAGGCCCGAGCTGTACTGCGGCCGAGGAGAACTGTAAGCTCGAGTCCGGATCAGCAAGGTATTGCAATGTCAGGTCATGGCTCGCATAGCCTGAAAAGCTAATGGTCGGGGCTGAAGCTAGAGGCCAATACTTTGAAAGAATGAGCCATGTTTGAGGCCAGTTCAAAATGGTCAGATTCTCTGAAAGGCTTTGCTTCTGAGATGGCCGCTGGGCGGTAACGGCGCATTGTGCGGTGCTCGACGAGCTTGCTTTCTCGCACTCGACCTTGGACTCGACGTATTTTTGCTTCACAGTACAGTGAGTACCGTAATATCTCATCTGGGTGACTTCGGGATTTTCAGTCGTGTTTTGAGGGATGTACGACTGGAATGAGATTCTGGTTGGCCCAATATCAATCCCCTGCTCGTTTTCGAATAGTCGTAGGTTGTTTCGCCTCTTGGTCTGCTCTTGTCCATCGCTCCCCCACTCGAAACCCTCCAACCATTTCTCATTAATAAGTCGATCAATGCCCACACTCCAGGAAGCTTCCCGCGAGTCGTAATTGCCTCCGCGGTCGATGCTGAATCCCTGAAAAGTCCCATTCGGCGCTGGCTGTTCAACACCACCACCTCCCAAGGCTGCGATGTAAGTGGCATTAATGTATCCCGGTTGGGAAGAGTTGTTGGACCCAAGAGGTAGTTCCCAAAGTTCCAAGTCGTCGCATTCCAGTGCAACGTAGGTCGACTCAATTTTAAAAGTGTTGTTGCCCGAGGAGATGTTCGCAAAAGGAAGACCAACGAGGGAGCTGTATGGCCGATCAGAGTTTGCCGAGACAGCTTGCCAGGAACTATCCTGATCGTTGGCTAAAAATGGAACCTTGATATTCCCCCACGAGTCCATGCTACTCTGCTTGGCCGCCCGGGGAGCCGTGAGCATGGATCCGTATATCGCGTTTCTCGCGTCCAACTCTGCTCGCAGCTTGCTCATCCGCTCCATGCTGTACCACCATTCATTGCCCATCACTCCATCCCCAATCGAGTCACTTGGGGCCGATCCGATGGTGTCAAAGTAGGTCATGCGGCTTGACTCCGTGACAATGGCTTGCCGCGGCTGAACGAGACGAGTGAGAGCCTGGGAACCGACGGGCGAGAAAGCCCAGAGGAGAACAAGAGGGATGGCGAGCACGCTCAAGCTCCGTAGGCGGATCTGTGTGATTACTGCGCCGAAAAAGGTTCTGCTCCCTGTGAGTTGCTCGAGGGTTTCCACTGTGACACCTCTTTCCAATTTCCAGCGACCTAATTGCAGCATCAAACGGCCCACCACGGCTGAGAAGAACAAAGGAAAGAATGTAGAGAGCTGAGTGAAGCGAGCACATATGTTAGCTAGAAATATATTGTATCATGGAAACCTGTTCAGACTCACGACAGACGCGGCATTCTGCCATTGCTCAATCTGGTATATGGAAGTCTCTTTGCCGTTTTTGGAGATCAGAATTGATGCAAAAATCAGTAGAGCTATGGGAATGAGGATCGTGAGAACGTCGGCTACGATGGTCTCGATCCTGAGGCCCCCTTTCACGAATTCCGGCGGCGTCTTTTCAGCAACCTGCCCGCGAGAGAATCCCTCTTGACCATCCGACAGCATCGGCGTCCGATCTGGATGCGTAGGCTGCACATTTCCAGCGGGATTCTGTGAGGGGTTGCAAAATTCTTCCCCTTCCTGTTGCTGTCGTGGCTGTCGTGGCTCCTGTTGCTGTGATTCCTGTTGTTGAGGATCCCCAACTGATGATATGGCCTGATATTGCTGCCGCTCCTGGTAATTCTGCGACTCGATCGGGCTGATCTCATTGTAGCGTCCGCTGACCGGACTTGGACCTGATGAAAGCGGCGACACTGATCTCGTAAGTGACATCTTCTGCGATGGGACGAGACGGGCGAAGTATGGATGGATGACATTCAGAGCAGCGTTGTGGCTAGTATCAGTTAATATTGGCCTCCTCACATTGCATCACTGCACGGATAATTACCCACAGGTTGTATTTGCTTTGCACTTCAGTCCTACTGCCTCCGTGCCCCGTTCTATTAGGAGATTGCAGAGTACCCGCCTGTACAAATGAGATGGCTTTGAATGGTACTTCGCACTTTTTGGCGAGGCTTAGACCGAGTTGACAGGCCTGCCGGGTCCATCGAACGCCATGGGAGGGATCCTATTCTTAGTGTGCCATGCCCGCTCGGACAAGAATAACGTGTCGATCCGTGCTACGCCGCCGCTCGATATTGAATATTGATTGTTGGTACGCGTACCCTTGCGGAGAAGGTTGGCGCTCCTTTTGGGATCCCAGACCCATTGTCTTTACTCATTCATGACCGTGTTGGGCCAGACAATGCCAGGACGGGAAGCACTAAAGCCAACAACCAATCTCCCAGTTCTAGTCATTCTTTTGAGCACTGCAGAAAGGGCTATTGTGCATGTGGCTGCCGCTAATTTCTCACTCTAGAGGGGCAAGGCCGCAAGTTGTCCACGCCAAGCTGACGGCTGCATACGTAGTTGGACCGGGGGTTGGCTTAGCTACCAGAACCCAGCATCAGTCGGAACTTCGGAAGGACTGGCCTCAATCTTGTCATCAAGATTCATTGAAACTCCCTTAAAAGAGCCCAGCAATCGATCCACGTGGCTGGAAGAAGTGGCTGAGGCGGTGAGACTGAAGAGCAAACAAAAAGCAAAGACATCTTGATAGCTTTTGTCAACTGGTTTAGAAGAATCTTACACCGGATCAAATGCTATGCCATTTCCCTTACCCAATATTGGCATGCAAGCCCGGACAACAGTAGTAATATGCTTACTACTGCGACTCTGACTGGAAATCTCACCCCATATTTGCTCATAATCACAGTAATCACATTCAAGTCATCTCATCTAATTCAGTCCCATATAGACAATCTATGTATCGGCGTATATACAATTCAGTGATGCCACACACAGGTTTCATGCGGTCCCAAGTCGCCCCTTCACATTGTCGCCAAAAGTCCAAGACTTGGACCCATCCCAATTGATTGACCAGGTCATCAAGCCCTTGAGCGCACCGTTGTAGTGGTCCAGGGCCTGCCCGACAAGGGTGGTGGACATGTAGCCACCACCGGCGCCCACCTGGGCTGGGAGACCAGGGGCCTGCATGTCGTAGGGGACGCGGATCGTTGTACCCTGGATGTTCAGGCCGTTGTTCAAGCAGTCGGTTTGCGCGATGAATCCCGCGACCGTGCCCGCGGCGTATGAGTCGCCGGAGCAGCCGTACATCTCTCCGTTGTAGTACTGCATGTTCAGCCACCACAGGCGGCCGTTGTCAACGTACTTCTTGATGATGGGCAGGTAAGAGCCCCAGATAGAGCCGTAAACGACGCTTCCTCCAGTGACGTATGCCGTCTCGGGTGCCATGGTCAAACCGAAGTTGGACGGCATGGCTGCAAGGACGCCGTCAATGATACGGATCAGGTTCTGCTGGGACGTGGAGAGCGTGGTAATGCTGCCACTGCCGGTTAAGCCAGTCTCGATATCGATATCGATGCCGTCGAAATTGTAGTTCTTAAGGATGGGCACGACCGTCGCGACGAACTTGTCAGCGACCGCGGAAGAGCTCAGATCGATCCCTGCCGTCGCACCTCCGATGGACAAGAGAATGGTGGCCCCGGCGGCTTTGGCCGCACACATCTCGGCAGGGGTCGCGACTTTAACACCGCTGTCCATGCCGTCCTCCCACAGTACGGTGCCGTCAGAAAGAATGACGGGGAACGCGGCGTTGATTACGTTGTAGCCGTGCTGGGGGATCAGAGGGTTTGTGATTGGTGTCCACCCGAACCCGGGGTGAACACCATTGCTCGACCCATCCCAGTTCTCCCAGTAGCCTTGCAGGACTTTTCCTGCAGGCTTGCCCTTGGTTGCACAGGTTGTGGTTTGCCTGGTGGTTGGCATGGCGTTGCCAGTTGATGCCAGGATGGGCAGCAACACCAAGGCAGCTCGGAGCAGGTGGTTCATTTTGGAAGCAGTTGGCCCGGGAGAATGTTATTTGAGTACCTAATGAGCAGCAGAATATCGGTGAGGGCAATGGAGCATTTGATGAAAGGTAGGTAGTCGGAGATGCAGCGATATATACAATTGCAACCAATCCAAAAGCCTACTCTGAAATTGCTCTGCAACACCAAACAATGAGAGCCGGAAATTTTGACCTCCCATCGCATCCTTACTTATAGAACTTGTCAAATGAGACAGTTCATCTCATTCATTCATACTTCTTCTGTCGGTGGAATGATCATGTGGGGGGTTTTACACAAATTCGGCAGGTGGGAGCAGAGGCTTGAGGTTTCAAAAGGATTAGCACGCGTTGATATGGCGGAGAACGACATCCCGCCTTTGGGCGTAACGTAGTACGTTATCATGATATGAGTTATATCAACTGACGATGAAAAAAGGGCTCTTTACGTATATTGGAAGGTGCATACGCTCATTGATCGTGGCGAGCAATCCACAACCTGCCACTCAGCTGCCATGTGTAGATGTCTGGAGCCCCGTCGTAGATCCATAGGTTACATTCCCTGACAAGGCTGATCATTTGGACAACTCGCGTGCCCAGTACTTAGGTAATCCAGGTTACATTGTTTAGCAGTAACAAACCAAAACCGCCGGTTCAATGTGCCGTTGCAAATGCCATCTGAGGGATATTTGACTTGACTAGAAGATTCGTAGCGCACTCTAGAGTGCGGGGGAAAACGACAGAGACGGGGCTGAAGGATTTGCCGCCGGTGCTGTATTGGGCGATTCCACGATAGAAACAGGAGCTTCGACATTGCTGGGTAGATGGTCTCTTGAATCGACATAAGCAAGAAGTACCAATTTTACAACAAATTAGCGCCGTTGTATGAGGAAAAACTACTTCTTTAAATTAGTTCCACTAGACAGAGAGGATGCTGTATTGATACACTTATCCTCTGCCACAGCTTCCAATAAGGACACGGACACCATAGATATTCTGGAAATTCTATTTGAGAACACCGATGAAATCACTGAACGCGGCACATAATGCGGTTGATGATGTAGTTAAGAATAGGAATTTTCTCTTTGTTTTCTTTGTAGACAACTCCTTGTCGCCCTTCTCTAAGTATCCCCCAAACGATCAGGCATTTATTCATCCACACGCATGCTTACATGAGCCGGCACAAAACAGCCCCCGCAAATTGAGAACACTAAAATCTTCGAGTACAGTCATTTAAAGCTAAGGTAGTTTGACAGGCTTCCTCTAGTCAGATCTAGACTTCCCATGTCTTGTAAGTTTCTCTCGATCGGTACTGCACGGTTGAAAGCGGTTCCTTGAGTTGCTCTCCCAACCTGTTATCTCCCCCCGACATCCCCAGCTTCTCATCTTGCAGCAATTCTTTACTTCTGTGCGATGCAGACGAATTTCTCTTGATTTGGTAGACCCATGATCGAAGCTTACCAAGTTCTTCCGCCTGTGTTAGAAGAGCCCAAAGGGTAAAGACGAGCGCAGTGAAAGGCAACGTGAACGCCCAGTACACCCAAAACTTGTCCTGTACCACCGGTTCCGTATTCCACTGTAGTGAGGGTACGGAAAAGAGAGCGGCAAAAAATGTACCTGGAAGGAAGGCCATTGTCATGATGGCAAGAACTTTCATTGACGAGCTATCACGAGCTGTGGCACGTGCGACTTCGATGGTGGCAAGGGCATCGTTGCGAGTCATGAGATGAAAGATCTAATCAAGTGTATAATCAGTATCAACGAAGAACACGCGAAGTGGTAGATTTCCAATTGACTTACCGTGTTGATAAGTGCGTCGGCTCTCGCTCCGACGTAAAGAAAATCAAGCTCCATCACCTCCAGCTTAGTCTTCGTGAGGCTCAGCGCCGATACTACCGATGTGGACGTGTCAAACTCTGACATCTTTTGAACCTCTGGAGATGCGGAGCTCTGAAAGGCTCTCTGGATACTAGCATATACTTCAATAGCCGCGAGCAGCTGCCTCAGTCGTCGCAGGATCATCTCCACCTCCAGCTTAAGAGCATTCGTGTTCTTTGAAAGATCCGAAAGCTCGTTCAAGTCCTGCGGAGACTGCGCAACGACTCGCTGAGGGTGATGATATCCTATGGAATTCTCCGTCTTGTGGCACTTGGTGTATTGTCTGCGGAGTAAGCCATCCATAAAACCCACTGCCTGAGCAAGGCAGGCCATGGGTAGGATTAGGGGGTGTGAGAGGAGCTCCCCATTGCACTGCAGAGATGCCTTGAAGTCCTCGAAACCCTTCCTTGCCATGGGGCGGTTAAATGAAAAAGCGACTGCCCGACAGCGTCGAGTCGCACGATCATAAGACCAGAGGATTTTGTAAGCCGTGCATTGGAGATAGTAGCTCGCGGTCTCACTCAAAAGATTCTCCCCTAGACTATGGAAGCCATTCGCATCGTTGGCTACTAGACCTAGACCATAGGAGTCTATTTGGAAAAGCTCCAACAGCCTCCTGCACTCTTCTGGCGTAGAGTCAAAGATATGATCAGAAATTGGTCGCTGGTATAAGACTTTCACGATTAGCAGTGGCGTTTCGCTACTCTCATAGAGTCGCTCGATGTCGGGAAGCGTGGATTCACGCTCGTTGAGTTGCAATTGCGCTGCCACAGCAGACTCAGCACTGATGACGCTGTACTTCTGAACTGCGGCTTCCCCTTGAAATTTCTGGTTTTGGAAGTCGGCCAAGGCAATGCTGCGCAGAGCGTTGATTCCCATTGTGATATAAGCCCAGCGGACGGGTTCTTCGACGATGTATCTGGCGTACCAATTCAGCAATCGAGAAATGGTTTGGGGCTTTCAATGTGATGGGCTAGGCGGCGATATCATTTATTTCCCTCACTGTCACATCTGTGCACTCTTGCATGAAGTTTCGCCCTAATGCGCCTGATATTCAGCCTCAGCTGAAGCTGCGCCCTCCAGATGTGGACAAAGGCGTCAGCTGCTGCCTCTTCCATGAGAAATTAAATTGAAGGATGACTATAAGTAAGCTACTTTCTACAATCATTATAATCACATTGCCGTGTAAGCGACATATGTAATAATATTTAGTGCATCATCTCCTTAGAACTCATTATCAGCCCTCACTTACCCCCCCTATTTAATCATTATTGGTTTGCTGCAACCTATGGAAGCGCTCGATGGCCGTGTTTAGCTCTGAGCTGTTTCTATTATATATGCTCTGGAAGAGATGGTGTTTTCTGGGCCAGTTGCTCCTGCAAGCAAACTGGACTAGAGGTGACGAATCCCCCGATCATCCTCTAGCGTCCATGTACTTCTCTCAGATATGAGACGCGTATGAAGTATTTTGAGCTCTTGGAGCGAATAATTTACCAGATATACCGAACGAAGACTTAGGAACTCCAAGTCCAGATGTAGAATTGAAGCCACCTAAAGGCGGATAGATTAAGATGCATGCAACATAAATCTATTTAGAGTACTATCATCTCTAGAGATCTCCTACGGTGGCTTCAACCCTTGAAAGTACAAAGACAGAGCCCGTGCATGCCTTGAAAGTAGACCAAGAAGTTCTCAAAGCTCCATTGCGTGGCTCTTATTCCTCCACTGTAAAACCAGATCCAAAGTCTCAACTGAATAGAGTATGAGGTGGAAGATTCACCAAGATCACGCTAGTATCCTAATGCCCTTAAAGTGTTTGTGTAGGGTTTTGGGAACTAAAATGCTTTGCAGAAGACAACTTCTTTGATTTATTAGAATTTGATTTTTTTTTGGAAATTAATTAATCTTATGGTTCCTAAATAAAATACAACAACAAATGCACGTGTCAGTTTCGCTTAGAATACAAATCCTCAGCTGTCGGCAGATTTGGTGTTCTGTTTTCCCATTAAAACGCTTATCATCCGATTCTTCATACTGTTCCAAACTCCGTGTGCTATATCAAGTAGATTCAATGTCCATAATTATCTGACGTATATGGAGTGGAAGCGGCAGCGTATTTGGACACTTGACGCAAATGATCTGGTGTTCCAAGTGCCCTCATCTCGTCTGAACCATGTCGCTTAACGGCTACCTTTTTACCACAATTGGTGCAAAAGTGACTGATATGGCATTTCCACTTGGCAGCGTAGGGTGCTACTACGCCTCCAACGGTCGTAAAGAAGAGCCCGGTCGCGGCAATACTGAACGAATATGTGTAAGTAGAGACACATAATGGTAGGCTTTGATAATTGAATAAATCGAGAGGGACGATTGCTCACTGAGTAGCTGTAGAAGCATTTTTCTTAACTCTAGTTTCAACTCGTCGCCGACAGAACGGGCAGTCCACAAAATCTGCCTGATCTCCTAACAGATGAAGTGGTGTGACGGTAATATTAGCAGTCGACGCCGGCATTGAATATGATGTATCTGGTCTGAAAGCTGTCTTTGAGTTGGACTGAATAGACCGGAGTGAGGCTGTGGAGGATTCGTGTAATCGTAGTCCGTAGTCCAGTGAAGCTGGCGCTCGAGCGGTCGACATGGAGCCTTCTCCTCTCACAGGCCCCGAGAGAGCACCGTCGAGGATCAAAGCCTCATCACTCTCGTCACTTGTCTCATTTCTTTTGTCAGATTTGTCCGCTGGGAAATCAAATGGGTTTCGCATACGTTGGACTCGATGTCTTGGTGTCTAAGTGGTGGAAAGAAGAGAAAGATTGGTTTGAAGCCTCTCCTATCTCTTGGGAAACTTGACTATGAGCCAATCCATCAGGTGAGTATATTGGTGGAGGAGTAGTGGATCGTAGGACTGCGGTCGGTGGATTTGGAGTCATTGGCGATGGTGTAAAGGACATTGCGATCGTTTTCAAGCTGCAGGTAGCGGTTTCGATTTGGTATATGCTTGCGACCGAGCTTCTAAAAAATGTCGAAATAGACCGAGAGGTAGTTGGGTGGACGAGATAGAGCTCCCCTTTTCTCGGGGTGTCGGTATATAACAGTATGGCAAATCACTACCATCTCCCTCACCTCGCATTTGAAGCGGAGAAACCCAAATTTAGGTGTCTCCAGGTCACAGCCACTCCCGTTCCAGAAGCTAACTGGCTCTGTCGCCTAACTGTCAGCAGCTCACTAGACAAGACGTGCGCGGCCATCACCACCACTCATGATGGCCAGGGATCAAAGTCGTAAGATAATGGGGCTATGCTTCCACTACATACTTTCGATTACGGTTTAGATCTAGACTTTGGGGTCTGGTACCCGGCCAAGCCGGTGTTAGCATACTGAGATGAGGGCGATGACGGAAGCTGATATTTTTGGATGCTCGCTTTCGGTTACCCACAAAAGTGGCTGAGACCCCCGGGAAATCCTGCTTCTGGGGGTTGACAACCCTGTTCCCTATCCCGGATATCCAGAGAATGCAGCCCCTTATTTTCTTTACTATTGTGTTTTTTTTCTTCGAGGCTAAGGCCAATAAGTCAAAAACTATAATCCTGAACGATTTAAAAAAAAAAAAAAAAAACGTCGAACCCTATTGAACCGGTCGTAAGAAGTAGATGAAGTATTGAAAGACAAAGATGTGATATTCACATAGAGAACTTGAACTTAAAGACCCTTCGTACAAGAAGCAATGAAGCGTGTTACGAGTGAAAACAACAATAATGTCTTTTCTACACGTTTGTGACGAGGTGCCGTTGTTGACTGGCATATCCTACTTATATTTATTTGTTACAGGTAATTAGGCTTATATTTGGAAAGCTTAGATCTATAGCTTTTGCTACTCGCTATTAGTGCAATGCTATGCTATTTTAACTGTGGTTGAATCCGCTTCAGGATATACACTATTGCTGTAAGCTCTCTGCTGTATGGATTCTATTCCGTTCTCATCCCAAGAGTAAACGAGAAGGTCTTCAGCTTCGGACTGCCACTAATTGACGGGTGAATCTGAGTGACTCCTCAGCCAACACCTATCATGTCGCTCTGCCCTGAACTGCGCATCGTAATGCAGCCCTTTCGCCTCATCCACTACCACCTCGTCGATCGTACAGTCTAACCGGAAGGACGTTCAGCTTTGGATTCTATTATCAGATCAAAGAGAACAATTTCTTGGACAAGGAGTGACTGGTCACAGTGCGTTCAAATATTGCCTCCCAGTAGTTGCAAAATAACAGTTAATTCTTATCTAAATGCCTGCCTGCTTATGGAAAAGGAAGAAATCGGGAATAAATTTAGAATTAACATCTCATGTAGATGAAATCCATAAATATTAAACGCCTTGAGATAGAAAGCTAATACGGTTCACGTCATAATGCTTGTGTGCACGATGGGACCAGTGCATCTCCCATGGACTCTCGAGAGCAGCCATATCAATCAAGATTCCCCTAATCCAATTTTCAGGCTTGAGATCGCATATATCAAAGCCTACGAGATAGAGCAAGTCCATCTGGGCCTGCAATCCTTCCATATCCACGTGCTGCTCGCCCGGCGAGATATACTCGTATAATATAGCGTAGTACTCGCCGTCTTTAGTCATAGCACGGCGGTCACGGCCAACACGAGCGCACGGAGGGCCCATCCGCCCATCTTCGAAAAGTCGAGTGCTGTTTGCTTTGAGCCAGCCAAAGCGTTTTCGGAATCGTGGAAAAGAGGTGATGGGCACAGCGCCAGGGAGCTTGTTGAAACGGGGCTTCTGGCGAGCTTCGTTGCAAAAGGCTTGGGTATTGTACAGAGCATCCTTGCGACTCTCAATCTCGGGCTTCAAGTAGATGGGCCCCTCTGATTGCGCGATAGAAGCACCTATCATCTGCAACAGCGCAGTTCCAGCATTCTTTTTGGATGGCATAGTAGGTGCGCTCCCCTGGTATCTCAACGTCCCAAAACTAATAAGAGATATCCGTTAGCCTTTCTTGATTCATCAAGGCAGCAGTGGTGTAGGTTATGTTTCTGTTTGGGAGGCGAAGGAGAGAGACGTACTACTTTAAGTGCATAGGGAGTACCATCGATGCTCACCTTGAACACAACACCATCTATCCCATCACCAAGCCGTTCTTCAAAAATCATGTCCTCGAGCTTAAAGGGACATGCCCTAAGCATATGTTTCTGGACGCTTTTCCATGAGCAGTCAGGGTCGCCTATAAGCGGCTCATCATCGCGAAAGGGCAGTGACTTTTGAGCAAAGAATTGATCGTACGCGCGTTGAACATGTAGAGGGACACCATTCACTACCGGAGGCGAAGGGGATCTACGCAATTTTAAGTATGTTCCGGAGATCGGAGGGGAGGCTTGTCTTTCAGAGCACGAGGCGGGGTCAGACATGGTGATGATGCCTTAGGTAGGCAGATGCGTGCCAGGATGAATGAAGATTGATTGACAGCCTTGAGGAGAGTCTTTCAAAACTTCGGACAAATGTTCCACCGATGAGTCGGAAAGAGAAGGCCAAAACAATCAGTGAATGTCGGATTGTTGAGTCGCAAAAGAAGAAAACGAGAGAATGAACCATTTTCTTTTCTAACAGTCTGTAAGCCCCCTCTCTCCCCGCTTCCAATTAAGCTATTGATTTCTTATTATTTAGGCATCTACCCTCATTAAATAACATCAAAGGCACTGTAAGCTAAAAGAAGGGGCTAGAGTTTATCGGAGAGCGACATGGGTGAATGCACCTCCATCCATCCCTATCCAAAGGAATGCCAAAAGTCTTGCCTCTTCCGAATAAACATAAAGTAAGCCGAAGAAGGTGGAATAATATGTGAGATTCTAAAAATTGTTACAGTTATCAGCCAGTTTCATGCTTGGCTAGTTACTTGATCTATTAACTCATGCCCTACACAGCCCTATACGTATTGTAAAAGAGCGAATTGGGTTCTTTTCTATGACAGGCAAATATGGCGACCTAGGAAATTTACAATGATAAAAAAAGCTATCACTGGTTGGCCGCTCATGTCTCAGAAGCACGAAGGTGGCGCAGCAGCTTGGCATCACCGATTTCGAAATGGAATACGAGGTATGCAGATGCACAGCAGTATATCGCTACAAAAACTAAATGTACATCGTGCAGTGCGGAGGGGAGTCTAGCTACAAGCTATTTCTGTTGTTAACAATTCTTACTAGTCATGAAGCGCTTGCCAAAAGGAAGTATCGGGTAAACCTTTAAGTCGCATGTCAGCAAGGCTATGATGGGCTGACCAGGAATTGCCTCACTGATGAAGGAGCAACGGGTTGCTTTTGAGTGGCGGCGAGTGCTTGGTAGGAGTGTGTGATGCATCGAGCGCTACCCCCAACTGGAGGTTGCAGTCTGACACCCGTCAAAGTTCTTTTCCAGTAATATTTTGTAGTTCCGTTCCGTGCCACAGGTTGAGTTGGATTTTACACAAACAAAAGACCTTTATTTTGGTGCTATTGACTTAATGTACCTTATGTAAATGTAAATCATGTCTCGAGGGCGAAGGGCGAGAGGACATCGAGTGCTCTCAGTAGAACATGATTGATTACCCGAGCTCTTAGAGGCGTAGTATTAGCCGTGGCTAGGTGCATATAGCATTTGGTCAATCACACATCCTCTGTTCTCCCGATTGGTGGATGACGGAGCTGCCTTGCCTCTATGCTGATATGAAACACGAAAGGATCGGGATATTGGGCTTAGTTCCCATCACGGCGCATGAGGCGAACATTGGCCTCATTTGGGGTTTACTCTGGCCTGATCAATAAAGGGCCTTGGTAGCGAAGAGATCGCACCATGTCCATCGCCCACTTTTCGTCAGTTCTTCACCGACCAATGCTCAAATCTCCCACCCGTGGTAGTCATCACCATGGAATGTCATGACGTGTGCAGTATGAAACCATCCGGGAGCCCCAAAAAGCGATGGATATTCTTCTAACACTCAGATCTCTAATATAGGTAATGCGGTACGGCAAGTGGAATTCTTCAGTTCGCCAGCTGATACCTGCAAATCCGGATCCAAGTTCCTCCAGGCCTACGCATCATGTGCAGAATGTGTCACGAATGTAGAGCCACAACCTACTAAATATATGCCGGACAGCCTATCCCCTGTGTTATCATATTGCGAAATGGGGTTCCAATACCATAAAAAAAGCGTTTCCGGCATCTCAATAATCACATCTGGTAGATACCAACGCGTCTCGACAGTTTTTTATTACTATATTACGAATCTACCTACAGAACCGACAGCACCGATCACAGGTATCCCGCCAACAACTGTTGTCGCGAGCCAAATTCCTACGGCATTGAATACTGCATCATCTGAAAATGGGCTTCCAAGTAAAACACCAACTATACCTCAAGCAACAGAAACTCCTCAGACTAACTTTGGGAACTCTAATTCCGCCCGTATGTATTGGAAACTTTCTTAACCTATTTGAATTGCTGGGAGCAGAATCTTGTCTGACAAGCTATTAGTGACATGGGTTATTGGTCCCGCTCTCGGTTTTGCTACGCTCGTGGCACTATGTCTTCTTCTATGGCTTTACCTCAGGTCCCGAAAGAAAGAAGAACCCGAGGATTGTGATTCCGAAGGGGGCAAACACAAACCTCCAAGCAAGACTCGTTTACCTTTGAAATCTGCCTTGAAGCCCATTCGCAGATCGCCTTCCAGCCTACGCCGCCTCTTCCACATTTACGAGCTACCCGGCTCAGCGCTGCCACACGAAATGCCAGGCTCGACATACCATCCGCAAGAGCTCCAAGGCTCATCTCCACGGCCAAAATCAACGCGAAATCTACATGGGAAAGCGCCGGAGGATGTAGAAGTTTTGGAAGCGGCGTATATCACGGCAAAATCACTGGCAGCTGATCACATCAAGGAGATGAGTGAAATAGCACCGAGAGAAAAACGGAAAGCAAAGAGATGAAACGATGATATCGAGAGGGTTTGCAAGTCAATCAGAAAATACAGTCTACCTCAACACTTCCATCTCAAACCAAATATTCTAATCACAAAAATGTCTAAAGTGGCCGTCTTTGTTGTATTTGCACTTCCAAGTAGAAAAAGACCGGGTCTACAAGGAATTTCCCAGATATTGTCATCATCTACTTCCTAATGTTGTTGAAACGGTTTCTTTTTATGCAATTTTTACAGCTGGTAGGATACAAAATGAGTTACCAAGTCTAAAAAGTGGTGACAGATAAGGCTCCTCAAACTTCCAACCTAACTTGCTTCTCATTTTCCTTCTGAATATCCTTTTCGGATATCTGCTTATCAGGTTGAGGCATCTCGTTCAACCCCCCATTGGTATCGAGACTATGTTGGTACGCTGACGAGAGCACCGTTTTTGGCCATACCAGGCCTTCAAGGATTAATTTGTGCGGATGCTTGGATTCCAGATATAGACAAATCGACATCCCTTCTATGATGGCTCGTTGACGCATCCACCATATCTTACACTCGACCAGTTTTGCATAGTACCAAACGAGAAGAAGAAGGGCTCGAGGGTCCTTTTGCGCAAGGAGGTCTTTATAGCTATCTTCCATGCCGATAGTGAAGGAAATGAAGCGGCCAAGTTTCCCCGGAATAAAAGGGTGGGGTAGAATCTCCGCGAGGATTGAGGCCGGTCGAAAATAAACATCAGCCTCGGAGTCCGTCGAAGGGAACTGGTCAAAAAGAGTATAGAAGCATTGCGGGAAAGCATCTAAAGGTATCGGAGCATCGCCTCTCGGAAGTGAATCAGTTAATATGTTTGTCCTGTACTTCTGGAAGGCAGTGCCCTCTTGAACTGGCCCGATGGTTTCTCCGACAGCTTTCTTCCCGTCACCCATCTTGATCCAGCCCAGGTCGGACGGATCCGGATCTCGGAACGGCCAAGTCTTTTTGGGATCGTGAGTACCGAGATACGCGAATGAGGCAGCTCCGAGAAGCACGGATGTGGCCCAAAGCGCGTCATGTTCAACCACCGTCACGCCAAATCGACCTTGGGAGAGCATCCTTCTGAATATTGCCGAAGCCTGATACCAGTGGAATGACATCAAGGCTTGTTCTGTTGAGGGAAATGGGGATGGGGAGCAGGAGTCGTGAATGAAGGCAAGCGCAATAAACATGTGAAGAAGAAATGGATGCTAGGACAGTTAGCTTCGTGAAGCGTGTTATGGATACAATTATAAATATCTAGTCCGACATAAACAACAGGAATACGTACCGAAACCCCAATACCACCATTTTCGTCACTAAATAATGGCCGGGACTCCTTTGTCCCGATATGGTTGAGAGTTCGGTTGCGATATCGGTCCAGGGCGGCAAAGTCCTCGGCCCTCAACTCATACTCGCCAAAGGCGGTGGAGCAAGGAAGAACGATGGGGATGGTATACCGGGGACTCGGGCCCTGTGAGCTCAGGCTAAGATCGAATTTGTAGACTCCCGCATGCTGGAGTTGCAGCATGGGTCCTTGGCTAGAGAAGTCACAGCAAAACCCGGATGCCTGGCAACGCTTACAAGCCGGCTTAGATTCGTCGCACTTGGACATGGTCAGTCCAATCAGCAGAGCGAAATAGGACAGGAAGAGATCAAATATAAAATAGTGGCAGGGGAAAGATCTTAGTCCCATGGGACATACCTTGACACTTCGAAGCTTGCAGTTTTTACATCCGAGGCGAGACTTCCGATGGGCCTTGCGGTGACGTCGAGGGACCATGGCATCCGTCATGGTTGAAGCCATGACGTGAAACTAACTTGAAGACTACTTCTGTGAATGAAAATACGAGAAACGTACAGGCGACGTGCAGCTCTGACACTTCCACCATGCGCTGGAGGCTGGGAGCTGGCGGAAGTTGAATGGACGTTGATGACGGGAGAATGATAATTGACCGAGGAAATGCCAAGACGAAGCTGACTGGTGGTGTCCATAATATTATGTGGGCTCTTCGCGTTCTGATTGGTGTATTGCGCAGACTCCACTAGATGAGCTAACCTTGTTTCGTATTGAAAATCGTCTCTAATTGGCTAGAGTTAATTACATCATCATTCGTTGTTTCATCGGGGCAAGTCATTATTAAAGCCGAGACTTGATAAAGCGATTGGAGATAGCATACGGGAAATCCAAATATTGATGGGTCAAGGAGGACTTTTATTGACAGTTACTATCCATAGTAGTGGAAAGAGCTGAGAGAGTTCAGAGAAAATAGGTAGGAACGCGGGATTACAAGATGGCGTCTGAAGTGAGTCACATATTGTAGTATTATCTTTCTTTTAGAAAGCATGATTCTGTCAAATGTGTGAAAGGGTTTTTGGCTGTTCGAACCATTTTTTTAGTTTGTATCAAAATAATAATTAGATGCATTCGTGACCATTATTTATGGTTTATTCTATCGTGTAAAACAATGCTTGGGGTCAAGACTCGTATCCCGTTTATTTAACCCTCAGTTGTACCGTAGGGTAGCCAGCAGGGACTGGGTATTCGAGCATGCTGATCACGGTAGATGCTGAGTTGAAATGTTTCCCCAGCACGACATTTTGATTCTGACCAGGCTTAAGCCTTGCAAGGTCCTGGTCCTCATAGCCGCAGGTCACGTAGCCATCTGCATCACGGGTGCATTTCACGTAAACAATCGAACCCTCGTATGCCGCAATCTGGGCAGGCGTCCAGAAGCTAAGAAGAAGAGATCCTGTCAAAGGCAGATAAGTAGAGCCCCATAGCTTGTCGGTCCTGCCGTCGAGCAAAGCGTAAAGACGTCCGGTCTCCGCATCAATACCCAATTTTCCAGGCACGGTAGGAACGTAGTTCCAGCTAAGCGCAAAACCGTTGGTAATCGCCCGGAACCCGGTGTTATGAGGTGTAGAATCACCCTCAACATAAACTGTTATATCGAAGAACTCGGTTTAGGCGGGGGCTACGCTCGACGTGGTTGAAGAAATAGGAGTGGTAGAGGATTCTGGGGTAGCAGAAGAGACTGGGGTAACGGACGAGGCTGGAGGGGTAGACTCTGGGATAGTGGTGGAGACCGGGGTGGTTGAAGAGACTGCTGTCGTTGAAGACTCCAGAGTAGTTGAGGACCCTAGAGTAACTGAGGATTCTGGAGTGGCTGAGGATTCTAGAGCAACTGAGGATTCCGGAGTAGCTGAGGACTCTGGAGTAGGTGTAGATACCGGAGTACCTGAGGTGGCTGGAGAAGTCGAAGAGATTGGTGTGTTGGAAGAGCTTGCCGGAGCGGAGGAATCTGGGGTACTGGACTGGGTAATCGAGGGTGTATGAGCTGTGGCGGATGAGGATGGCGACACGGTCGGCGACACTCCGATGCACGAGCAGGCACGAGAATAGGCCTTTTTCGAACGACACACCGCATTTAACTCAACAGGAACTGTGGCGTCTTCACCCTGTTGAATGAATGCGAGACAGGACTCCTTCTGCAAGGTACTGCCGACAGGGTCAAGCAAAGCCCTGGCACATCGGCTCGTGCATGGCTTGGAGCATTCAGCTACAGCCAGCGGGAGGAGACTGGCTAGAGCGACGAGAAGGCGTGTTGGTATCATGATGCTGACGAGATGCTGTGATAGCACAGGCGCAAGGTCGTGGCGGAGATTTTTCCAGCCTGTCGTTTGCTCTTAGATTTCATCTGCAGTTGGATTTGTCTCTGATAATAAACAACAATTAACCCCTGAACGACGGCATATTAGCTGGAAGAACTAGTGGCACTAGTCTTGTAAGACTCAGTCTGGACTCACGATGGCGACCAAGAGAAATATTCTGCTTTCTTTTTCAAAAGCAACTAAACCTAATATGGGCACTGCATTAAGTTAATGGGAAATCGAGAATCAGCATTGTGGCTCCAGTGCAGCCTTCGCTTGATTCCCAAGGCTGGGTCGTCAGCGGAGGCAATACTCAATATCTTGGCCAGGGCGAGACCAAAAATGATCGTTTCAAAGACGGAAACAAACATTCCTCTTGTCTTCTTTGGTCATTTTGGCAGTTGAACTAAATAAGGTGAAGCAGGAACTAGAGGAGGAATATAACCTTTCACCACCAAGGGAGGTTGGAGATAGACTTCTTTTATATAGCTCATTCAAGACTTGGTTGAACAGAGTAGCTGTAATATGCAAAGAGAGAATAGAACTAAGGTTTCCCAAGAGAGCTATGTTCACAAAATTCTTATATGATATTTATGTTCATCCGAACACTACGCGCACCATCAATATAAATACTCAAAACTATTACTATCTATTCAATGAGGAGCCAGAGACGGAGCTTTGCCTAACCCAGAAACCTCATGCCTTTTGCAGAAAATAGATGCCTTCTTGTCCCCAGATTATATTACGCATTATACTCGGCAAGCTCTTCTGTTAACTTTTCAGCGAAGGTGGCATCGTCTCCTGTAAAGTCTGTCAATCCGCAGGATGGGTTGAACGACGTTCGCGCCTTATTGTCAAAGGTACCCGTGATATAGTGCTCATCTGCTCGGCCGTTGCCGTCGAGGTCAGGCCAGTATTCGCACGTACCCGCTGCATTTCCTTTGAATGCAACTTCGGTCTGCTGCCTCCAGGAGAACGTAGAGCCGAGAAGATCCTCAGCTTTGCCTCTACCCTCGTTGTACCTATCTCATGGTTAGTAATTTGAGCGACAGTCTTCAATGGTAGGAGTAAGCTCTTACCAAACGTAGGCATCCCCTGAGAATTTCTCAACCCAGAGAAGATCGTCCTTGCCATCGCCATTAACGTCAGCCCAACGAAGGTTGGCACGATCTTTACTGATGGACACCTTGATCTGGCCGGCATCTTCAAAGCTACCGTCGTCATTCTGGACGAAGCCGGTGACTCTACTATTAGGCTCAATACAAAGATAATCAGCCCTCTTGTTTCCGGTAAGATCGGCGAAGCGGACAGCCACTGTATCAAATCAGCTACTAAACATCAAGATAGCGACGGAAAATATGGGACACAGTCTCAACTTACAGTCATGGATACCAAGGCCTCTCTTCTGTGAGCAACTCAGACTTGGAGCTGGGTTCGATAGATGAGTCCAGTCCCACTTCCCGGTACTGGGGAAGTTGTTAATCCAGACTTGCACCTTGCCGCTTTCAGGGTCAGCATAGATAATGTCGCAATCCCCGTCTCCGTCCCAGTCTTGCAGGTGTAGATCACGGCGATTCATCTCGCTTGGCGGGGTCCAAATCGTGCCCTTGGACTCCCAGAAGCCATCGGCGTCTGAATCGGATATCGACTTCTTGCCGCGGTTTGCCCACATCTCCATCGTTCCTCCCGCGTAGGCCCACACATAGTCCTCCATTCCGTTGGGGTGGCCCATCATGTTGCAGTATTTGTTTCCGTCGGCAAGAAGCTTGGTACCGCCAGAGCCAGTATTCTTCCAGACACGCATCTGGAACCGATGCTTGCCAGTTGAAAGCGTCTCGTGCTGCATAAAGATGTAGTCTTGCTTTGGTAGGTTACCGAAGACAGAAGACTGTCCATAGATGCGGCCAAAATGAATCCGGTTACGTAGTGTCTTCTCTGCATCGGTAACGAAGCTGCCCATGCCCTTATAGACTGTACCGGATGATGCGCCCGTAAGGTAGCCATCGCGCCACGCAACGTTGAGACCATCGCCCTCGGCACCCGTTGCACAACTTCGCCCATTAGTCTGCATATAGCCTGCTCCAACAGAGTCAAGCCAGATAGAATCGTCACGACCCTAGTTCCCACGTTAGTTTCACTCCAGCCACATTGAATCCTCGGAGCTTACATCGCCGTTGACATCTTCAAACGTGTACCCCTCGTAGCTTCCGTAACCTTGGTCTTTGCGTCTGGCACCAAGAGCTTGCCAATACTGGGGGACGTTGCCAACTCCGCCGTTTCTCCAGAACTTCCAGCTGCTGCCATCCCAAACTCCATAGTCGCCCCGGCCATCCCCATCGATATCTGCGAGGCGCACTTTGTCTCGTCCATAACCCTCAGTGCTCTTGACTTTTGCTGTATCGCTAACACGCTTGAAAGTAGGTGCCTTTCCAGCCGCCCTATCGCCGTCTCCTTGGTTGATGGATAAGTAAGCGTTACCATCGTCATCGATATAGACGAGATCATCAAGGCCGTCGCCGTTCATATCAATGAAGTTGACACCCGTGGCATTTTTGCAGTTCAAATCGGGTGTCAAGTTGTTAATTTGTTTGAAACCAGCCTTGCCGTCACCGGAATTAGCCCTTTGTGTTCCAGTTAGCGCATCCTTGACTGTCTTTGGGAAGAGTCGAATTAAATTCCTTCGTGAAGGGGGCATACCAGACAATATATTCTTGCGAATTATCGCCAGTGCTAAGCCATGCCAAGAGGTCATCGTAGTCGGTATCAAACAGGCGTGCAAACTTCCACTGGCCTCTATCCCAATCGCTTTCTGCACTCCATAGAATCTGGGTAATCTCAGTGAGAAAGGAGAAACACCCGCGGGTGCCCAGAAATTGAACTTACACCCATGTCATCACTGTTGTGGTAATAGATGCCGTCATCATAGCCAGAGCCACGCTGAGTGAGACCACCGGCATCGACACCGTTGCCTGCGGACTTGTCACACCCGGTCTTGCCAACGCCAGTATCGAAGTCAGGTGCAGCCTTGACGCGGTTGTCATCCAGCGCCTTGTGAATGGCCTGGTAGAATGCAGCAGCCATCTTCCTGTGTCCCTTGTCCTATATGTACAGCGTCAGAGATCTAGTTCTTGTCTGGGGCTTTGGAAGCTACTGACATTGGGGTGGACAGCTGGTGACTCTCCTGCCGAATAATCCGTATTGAAATCGAACCAAACCTTCTCGTTGGCAAGGTCCATGTCGGCGAGGTAGATACACTTCCCCTCGTTGCTTCGTGTGGTGACAAGCGAGCGATATTGGCTATTGATTGCAGCACGGTTTTTGGAACCATTGGCATTGGTTGTTGGGATAAGGGTCGAGAGCATGATGCACGTGTCGCTCATATCGGCTGCATTCCAAAGCGCGTTGAGAATGTTGTTCATTCGGTCGCCAACATTGGATATATCTACATCGCCGTTGCCGTCGTTGGTTCCTCCGTTAATGATAACAATGTTAGGCTGCGTCCAAGGTTAGGTGATGTCCTTACTTTCGATTACATTTTCATATCAGTGGTGATAAGTTCCCACTCTTGATAAACTGACCTTGTATCCAATCGAGTTTGCCACTCTGTCTTGGATTTGTGTAAGAACGTCTCCAGGCCTTCCCTCGTGATTCTTAATTAACACGGTAATGTTAGTATATTAAACTTCCCAACGATGCTGAAGAGAACTTACTTGATCCTTCATTTGGCCAGAAGCTCGGCTACCAACCATGTTCACTTCATAGCCATCCTGTCGAAGTGCATCTCGCAAGGGTTTCCGATGGCTTTTGGAGAATCAGCATCAGTACAAAGACTATTTACATCAGAAACAACATACCCATCGCCCGTTGACGAGCCTACACCAGTCATGATGGAGGCACCAAGTGGTAGAATCCGCAAGGGAACCAAGTCAGCACGCTTAACGCTGTCCCAGTCTCCGGAGACATCCCTATAGCTGACCGGTACAGTCTCATAGTTGGGTGCAGCACTGGCAGGGCCAACCTGTGAGAAGGCTGACAGTGCCAGACTGGCTAGCATCCAGGACCGAGTTGGACAGTTCATGATCGGCCACAATGTTGATCGTTGATCAACTCGGCAATACCCCAACGTAGTGTGCCTCTAGGTAAAAAGGAAGGACGAAAGTTTATTAATGCCCCTCCAGGCCAGCCGGTATCAATTCTGACTTGCATGGGAGATTGCACTACTGCTGGGAGGCCCGATTTCCAGAACCTGGACTCGCTGATAAGGGAGGATGGCCGTTCTTCCATGGCTGGGGATAGGCGTGCGTGTCTGCTTACTGTATCCACTTCGATTGTGGCAACTCTGCTATATATGTCGACGCTTTTACCCAACAGGGAATATCTGAGCCTAGCTGGACAAACTATGATTAAAGCCAGGCCCGTGCTGGTAAGATTATGGGTTGGGTCAGGACCAACCTTATCCACAACGCGGCTATTTTAGCAACTCGTCCCATCCCTTTTCCAAAAGCATGGGGCTGTCGCCGCTGTCCAAGGCATTTCTCAAATTGCAGTCAAGGATCATGCTGCCGACCGGCAAGGCAACCGCAAATACCGAACCAGCTGACAGGCCAGGATTCAAGCTATACCCGTGGATTCTCCTCTGTCAGCAGCCGTGCCGTAAACTGACCCAGAACAGAAGTTCGACGGACATCTAGGTAATCATCGGTAGTTGCCGCGTGATCCAACAAGATGCACACCGAAATAAAGTTGCCACAAGCTCACCTCTCAAAATTTTTGACCTACCTGTCTGTTTCTGTCGAGTATGTACCAAGTATATTTTGCCTACCCTATATGCTGGCAAAAACCAGTATCAGGCCAACCCGACATTCGAACCTCAGTAGCTAGAAAATGAATAATACTAGAACAAGAGAAAGTGAAATTCATCAGATACATTTGGTGGGGACTTGCCGGGGTATTCCAGCAGGGAAATTACTAATCGATGCTGTGAGTGATGTCCCCTGTAGACCGTCATGATGTGGTCGAATAACTCGTTTTCGTAAGACAAAGTCCCAAGCATTATTGCAGGGGTTTTTGTTCATAAGCATAGATGGTATGCTCACCACCTACTCTTTTACAGTCAGTGAATCGTTAATTAGAGGGTAAAAGTCTGGTAGTTGAACATTTAACTGGCAACCTCTATGAAAAGCTTTCTGAGATTGTTTAGAGCTTAATGTTATTTGTTGTGTTACTTACCTCACTTGTATACTTTCACTAATGCCTGCTTCACACCATCCAGAATGGCTACGACACCTGTTGCCCCAGGGTCTGGAATGCCTGCTGTGGAATCTGCCCCATCCTCTGCCCCAACATAAGTGCTACGCCCAAACTTGCTTTGAAGTATCTTTGTGTTCTCAGCTCCTACCTGAGCCGCTGCGCGTGCGCCCTTAAATACTTCAAGAACAGACTCATTCTTGGCAGTTAATTCAGCAAACTCGTGGATGAAGGGAATAAGAGCATCCATCATGGTTCGATCACCGCTCCGAGCAGCTGTGACTTGTTCTAGACTCCGCAGACCGTGCGAGAGACCGGCGGAGATGGTGCTTAAGCTGGCACCCTCGGAGCCAGATTGGAGCGCAATGTTGGATGCGAAGGCGGTCATGAAAACGGCATACAGGGCGCCTGATGTGCCACCCATGCTGAGAGAGAGTAAATCGGCGATTTCGAGCATGCCATGGGAGAGACTTGATGTGTTGATTGTGTTGTCCTCAAGGGCTTTGATGATGGAGTTGGCACCGTCCACGAGGGTTGTACCGCAATCACCGTCGCCAAGGATGGTGTCGTTGCGGGTGATTTCAGGCTCAGCGGAAACGAGCGATTTGTGAATGGAGTTCAAGATAGACTCGAACAGAGATTTGTCGCCTGAATGTACTGTTAGTCACTCCAAGGTCACTGAAATATGGAGCAGAGAGGACAACTTACAAGGGACACCAGGAGTATCTTGGGTAGGCTTCTCATCCTTTGTGGGCACGTCGCCCAGGGACGCGGAAACTGGAGATCCCCAGGCAGCCTTTGCTAGATGACTTGGCCAACCAACAGCATCGGTTGTCTCATCAAGATAGTTCACGATCGTGGCCGAGTGCTTGCTCATCTTGGGGAGGCTCAGGAGCGTGATGCTGAAACCAGGGCAGTTCAATGCTGACAAGAACGTACCACAGTACACTCGAACAGGCTTAAGTCCGTACGTGGCATGGAGCTGAGAGGTTGTCTCATTCGTGATAGCTAGCATTTCCAGAGCTGAAAGACTTCCAAGGTTGTTGATCTGGACCACGATGTCTGTCAGGTCCGCCTTCGGAGGCGTGGCAATGTAATTGCGCTCCGGATCATCATCCAGGAGGTTTGAAAGCAGACCTTGGACAAGATCTTCAAGACTAGGACGAGGGCTGATGCGCCTGCTTCCAGGCTCGTTGTGAATACCGATACCGATTTCAATCTCGTCGTTAGCCAAACGAGATTCGTTTGATGTTTGGCCTGGGATTTGACAGCCATCCAACCCTACTCCAATGGTCCCCATATTATCCATGGCGAACTCGGCAATTTCCACGATGCCATCCAAGTCTAGTCCATCTGACGCAGCAGCACCTGAGATCTTGTGGATGAGGGTGGTGCCAGAAAGACCACGTCGGCCGACCAATGCCGACTTACTTCGGCCTATGGAGACATCGTCCGCTACGACGAGAAGACGGATGGGCTGGGCTGTCGCCAAGCGAAAGCGATCTGCGGCTAATGTGAAGTTGAGCTTATCACCAGTGTAATTCTTCACAATGACGAGTGTCCCCTTGGGAGACTGAATGTGTCTCAGACCAGACTCAATCTGGGCTGCGTTTGGTGAGGCAAAGATAGAACCACAGACAGCGGCATCAAGCATATTGGTTCCGACAAAGCCGGCATGTGCAGGCTCATGGCCAGAACCCCCTAGAACACGTCAGGGTTAGATCAAAAGCTACTCATGCATGATTTGGAAACAAAATTCAGCGCCATACCTCCACTCAGAATGGTCACTCGCTGCTGCTTATCGGGGGCATCTCGATACACAACTATTTCAAAGGAGTCAGTTAGTCTATTGATATATTCATGAGTGGGAAACATTCTACTTGCTCTTGTACTTTTCATTAAGGCGTAACGAAGGGTGAAGATTTAGAAGCCCCTGAAGACCGCCATGAAGCGTTGCAGCTCCATCGGTAACAAAGCTGCGAGTCTTCTGAGCCAGAGATTTGTCGTCTCCTGACATGATGGGCACTAGTGACTTCCAAAAAGGAGGTTATGTTTTGCTAGGTCTGTGGCGTGGAGGGGCCAGGATTGGGGCGTTTAGAATGGTCCCGCGAATGGGTTTGACTATATACCTGAGATTTGCCCACTTCAAAGCATCGCATCCGACAATATCTGGGAAGACCGAAGGAACAGGCCCAGAATATGCCATCATGGCATTTTTCTATCAGCGGTACCAGCTGGGCCCAGAAACCCACCGACTCCGGGCCATACGCGGCGCGTAATTCTTGAGAATAGCCCGTGAAATGTTTCCCGACAAGCCGTCGGGATTTCGGTAATTGCGGAGAGATGGCTCAAGATCGGCTCAGCGCCGGTTCCCAACCTCGCTCATCCTTAGACGTTCGGGATCCCGGGGACCATCGGCTAGTAACCCCCTCAGCGGTCTCCTGACCAATATCGATGGGAAAATTGATAATCCCCGGCGATTTAGTCAGTGTTGTAAGCCGTTCGTTGTCCTTTATTACCGGTGGCCCCTTTTGTATTTCTCATTCCATCATTCGAGGAAGAAACAACAAGTTGACCTTCAATCATTTTCGACGAATTCCAACCCGAGCATTTCAATTTCCTAGCCACAGCCATGACTCTCATTCATATGGGTATGCAATCAAGCGGAAGAATAGCTGTATTTCTGGATTCAAGACTGATCTGCCATTTATAGTATTTTTCAAGTTCCGAGCCGACGTGTCCGAGGAGCACAAGCAGACATTCGTACGCGAGCTGAAGAAACTGAAGCACCTACCTTGTGTCAAGGACAACCGCCTGATTGTCGGCGGCCCTTCCGTTACCGACCCTATTGAGCGGAGCAAGGGCTTCGAGTTTGCTCTCCTCAGTTACCACGAGAACCGTGCGGCTCTCGACGAATACCAAGCTAGCAAAGAGCACACATGGTAAGATGACCCAGATACTTGTCTTGCCCGATATGAAAGTTGACCGGGTAACTAACCGGCATCTCTATAGGGTGACACAAACCTACATGTTCCCCTACAAGGAGGATTTATGCCGCTTTGACTTTGAGGTTGACCCTGAGGATGAATACATGTGCCCAATTACCGCGCTTTCAAAACTGAGTGGTCTTCAAACGCCTACTGAGGCCCCTAAGACACCCGAGACAACGAATTAAATTATAGATAGATAGATTTAAACACTAAATGTACAAGACTTGACTTTTTTTTTTTTGTAATCTCCCCTTCTCCATAATCTCTATTTCTATCTTAGGGCCGTAATGAAGTTGAGATATTTCGCCTGACCGCTTCCTACATTTTTCACCTAATGGGGATTGTTAAGACGAAGACGAGCAGCTTCACTTCCATGGCTCACAATTCATGGGCCCGCTTCGAGTGGCACACTCATCGGCTTATGCCCGGACGCTGTCCCCGTCAAGGCTGTATCTTCCATCACTGCCAAAGCCCCACTCGGGATGAGCCGACCATGGAAAAGTAGACAAGAGTTTCGGTTGTACACGTCAGGTCAGCTCGGCAGTACTAAATACATACTGCCTTGGCTGGGTTCTAGGCCCTGGTGACCAAGTCTTATACTGGGGGCCCGGAAATTGTTGATCCTTCACATGATGAGTCTGTATGTCACTTGGCGTTGCGTGCCCTCTACACGAAGCCTCTTCACTTTTCAGACAAACTGTCCAAGTAACGGATTCACGTAGCGTGAGCGTAGAAAATTGACGAATACGGGACGTAATAATAGTTATATTGCGACTCGAGAGATCTCAAATCTTAAAACACGAAGTATTTTGTGGAAGGGCGGTGGTTACGATTGATGTATGCATTGCTATTTATCTACGCAATCTAAACTCGCCTCTTTGCATAGGATGACTGGCAAACTCATGTCTCTCCGGATTTGGCATCTGAAGTTCCCCGAACCCCCTGATACTCACTCATCTAGAGAATGGGTGGTCCCTGGGGGATTCTGCTAGTCCTCGGAGTACCATTGCCAAAGACGTCGTGGATTATCCACAAAGATTCTGCGCACTTGAGCTGCATTACCTGCCCAGTCCTTGACAATCTCGACAAGGGCAGCATCATTGATGTTTCTGTACTCCTGTGGGTTCAGACGACCGCCCACTGCCGCGTTGCCTTCTTTGCTGGAAGTATGAGGCCAGTCACTTCCGTAGACAACCATGTCTGGTCCTGCAGTGATCAGGCTCTCAGCCACAACGCGCATGTCCTCGTACAGAGGTGCGGCCTTGGAGTTTTGGTAAGGTGCAGAGAGCTTGACGAACAAGAGCTTGCGTTGGACAAGGTCAATCACCTCTGGAAATCCAGCTGACTTATACGGGTCGATGGTGTTGACCGTCTTGTTTGTCCTGGAACCCACCTCCGCGTGGGCAAAGTGATCAGCGACGAATGTCACCCCCAGATCAAGGATGATGGAGTGCAGGCCCACGTAGGTCTTGAGGGGGATCCAGAGCTGCACAACCCAATTGCGGGCTTTGGCGATCGCGGCGTTCTTCTTGACTTCCTCGATGATGTCTTCGTCGGTATTGTTGTTCAGGTTGACACGCAGACCGCGGACGCCAACCTCATGCAACTCATTGAGCTCTTCTTCCGTTACACTATCGGGGTCCACCACGGCAACGCCGCGGTACTTGCCCTTGAACTGGCGTAGAGCATCGACGAGGACAGAGTTGTTGGTACCGTAGACGCTGGGCAAGACTATGACCGCGTGATTGACGCCACGTGCAGTCTGGAACTCTGTAGCGTTGGCAACAGTAGCAGGTTTGGGCGTATAATCTATCAAAGTAGAGAGGTTAGATTGGAGGAACCTCCTTTTCCGGTGGCCAAAGCTCCCGGACAAGATGCCGCCTTGGAAAGCACTGACCTCGATCTTCATCCATAGGGAATCTTTCGGGATCAATAACGTGGATATGGGAATCCCTACAATAAACAGTTAGCTTCGATCTCTGTACTCAGTGGCGGAAGCTGTACGCCTGCATTGAATCAGAGTTTGAAAAGGGAGCTGGGGCCGAGTGACATACCACGAACCGGCGGGGACCCTGGAGCCCATTGTGGCTGTGATCCAAAGCGCAAGGACAATGTTCTTAATTGCAATCATAATAGGCAGGCAACCCGCTTAAATAGATTTATTCTCACTCGAAGCTGGGAATAGGGGCAAGAAAACCGCGAGTGGTGATACGGAGCAAGACTGCAGCACCGGTTACGACCGAGTACTCTTAGTATTTATACCGTCCCTCAGCCACCCATGGGCTTCACATTAGAATCCTGGTTTCATTTACCATTCTGCCGACTTAACCGCTCATGCCTTTCCCACTGCTTGCTTCTCCTCACGAGATATCCCAATATGGTAGGGGTTGGGGAAAAGGATTCGCGTTCCCATGGGGAAATAGACTACTTTACCTCTGCTAAAATGATGAGGGGAGGATGCCCCTGCACCATCTAGAGAGAATGTGTCGGATGCATCCGAAACCTGCCAATCAGAAAGCAACAAAACAACAAGAAGCATCATGTGAGTGAGAAACGACCATGAGCAGGGATATTGAAGACTAGGAGTACGTAATTATCGTTTAATTTGGCTATAAACCCAATCTCTGAGTCAAACGTTAACTCAAATCTTCAAGAATTGGCAATGTGATGGCTACTCCATGGGACATTCCACCCCACGGTCTCTCTAGGAGATGTTACTTCGGATCAATGCCGATGCGGGGAAGTTTGAAGAGAGGCCGCCAGTTCTTCGTCTGTGGCACGAAGAACAGGGGCTTAATGCTTGCTTGCCTAAGTAAATGGTCTTCATGAGGGCAAGGTCGAGAACCGACGTTACAACTAGAGTGGGTTGGCAAAGTAAGACTTTGTCCCGATGTTGCATAGGCTGAGTGAAATCAATTCAGATCAGCTGATCAAAGACGAGTTTATGTTGCTCCCGGACGAATGCCGGTGCTGGAGCTGAGCAGGTGAGGCCAAGAGACTATTGGTTTAGCCCGTGTGAGATGAATGAAGGGCAGAGATTTTCATTTAGATTACTCAATCAAACCCGGAGCCTTGGCATTATGTGTTTAGATGCTGCACTACTGGAAATCTAGCCCTTGCGAAGGCCACGCCATTGTGGGGAGAACCATCATCAAAACAAGGTATGCGGGGTTGCCCCGGGCGGGGGACGTGGAGGGTGTTATGAGTCGGTGGGAAGCCGGTCCATTAGCTGCAACTCGAAGACACAAGGAGATGATTCGTAGCCCCGGTTGTTTGCTTCAACCTCAGCGCAAACTTAAAAGCTGTCATGCCTCCAGCTCAGTGTTGAGGTTGGCATGAGCAAAGAGTTCAACAACAGCAACCATCAGGCTCTTTCCTGATATCCTTTGATTCTTGTATTCCTTTTGTGTGCAATTACACGTTTCTAGTTGAGTTCAAGGCTGAAGATGGCTGCGGACGCGAACGTATCTTCCGACGCCAAGCCGGGTAGTGCCGTCGAGATGGTTGAGCTCAAGGCAGCCCAGGAGGGCAACCGTCTGGCTCTTGCGCAAGCAATGGGCTCAGAGGAGTTCCTTGCTGCTGAAAAGGCACTGAAGCGGAAGCTTGACATGCGCCTTTTGGCCAGTGTTTGGCTCATTTTTGTCCTCAACTATCTGGACAGAGTAAGCCGCTCTACCAAGAGTCTGTGAGACTACCGATGAACTGACTGCCTTCGTATCACAGAATAACATTGCCGCTGCCAAGGTTGCTGGTCTCGCAGATTCGCTTAAGTTGACAGCCGCTCAGTATGCTACTGCGGTGGCTATTCTGTTTGTCGGTTATGTTCTCATGCAAATCCCCTCCAACATCTTCTTGGCTCAGCTCCGCCCTTCGCTTTATCTGCCA